AACTTTAGATGATGCCCGTAAAGAGGATTTCAAAGACGGTCTTAATTTTCTTTAGGTATTATTGTTGATTAGCTCTGCAAGTCGGTTTCAAAGACGGCTTTGATTTTCTTTAGGTATTATTGTTGATGACTAACATAAACAAGGAAACATAATTAAGATTAAGATCTGGCTTAAAACTCTTTTGCAAGGTCATTAATTACTTAGGACCACTTATTAGGTATTTATATCCCCTTGTTATAATGAACTGTAACGAATGCAATCGATCCTTTAGTAGCCGACAGAGGCTTCAATACCATACCGAAAGGAAAGTCTGTCAGCGCCCTAAAGCTACCACTGTTTGCGAGGTTTGTGACAGGGCCTTTAGCAACCCACAGGCGTTGAAGTACCACGTCGATAATGCCGTTTGCAAGCGCACCCGAGACGACAACACTCTTTGCGGTAACTGTGGTAAGCACCTAAGCAGCGCCCAGGCTTTGGACTACCACGTCCGCCACCGTGTTTGTCTTAAGGGAATTTGCCCGCGCTGCGACAACAACGACGATTGGCACTTACATCGTTGCCGCCCTTACTACTTGGTTGGAATTGCCTGCGAGGAACACGGTGACGTAGCCTCGCGCTGTTGCCCCGAGGAAACTGCAAGGCGCCTAACGAAACGAAAAAAGAAGGTGGATGAGATCTTCATGAACTTTGACCAATACGAAGGCGTTAATTGGGAGCGYCAGGAACACTGGGAGACTGTTTGCGACGACTGCGGCTGTCAACGAAGTGGTCAACACATTTGGGAGTGCTTATACCCCAAAGCGGAGCCTGTAGGCACATTCGAAGACTACATGGTGTCATTCCACCGCTACGTCAAACAAAACGCAAGGGATAAGAAAAATCGCATTAATATATGTTTGCAGCAGCTTTCATAGGTGGCGCATTTGAAATTGCCGAAAAAATGAGGTCCGCCGAAGCAGACCAATACTTATCTAATCGCACAGAGGATTAGCATCCGTCCTACGTTCAACGTCGAACTTCCATCGACCGTTAACCTTACCAAAGCTGCGTATGTGCGTGAACTCTTCACCTTGGACTACATACCGCACGCAGTCAGGTGCCCATAAGGAGCACTCCCTACCTTCGTATTCGAGGACCAACCTTAAACGGCTGATGTCTTCGAAGACGACGTAATTTTTTATTTTGTATGTGCGACCTTTGACTAATTCACGCCAGTGTGTCTGTTCAACTATCATTATATCTATGAAATATTCTTTGGTGAGTCCTTAACGCC